TTCTCCCTAGTTCACGAGCGCAGACCTGCACATTTTATCTCCCCAGCCAATAGGCTGCATGTTGAAGAGTACAGGAGCATCATTCATTTCTGCTTGGAAGAATTGGAGCAGCATTGTTCTGATAAATTGTTTTCTCTTTCCTTTCTTGGTTCTTGCCTGTCTTGAGGAATGGCAGCTCTTGCGAGAATAAAAAATGTTACTAACCCACCCTGTCTGCATAACTGAAGTCTTTCATTTGTAGAACCTTTCACAGATCTGTTGTGCACTTTTCTATAGTGTGGAGCCCAAAACTGAACACCCTACTACAGCTGAGGCTGACCCAATGTTCCTCATAATCCTCTCCCCCTCTCAAAATTACTGAAGGGGATGATGGTGGAGAGGCAAAAACCAACATTTGAAGAGTATATGGAGGAATGGCAACAATTGTTCAATCTTGTTTTGTGCCACACAAGAGGTGGCCTAAATATGGCTAACAAAGGAAATTAAGGATAGTATTAGATCCAAGGAAGGGACATACAAATTGACCAAAAGCAGCAACAGAACTGGGAATTTGGAACAGTTTAGATTTCAGGGAAGGACCACCAAAGGGTTGATTAACAGTGGAGAAATAGAGCATGACAGCAAGCTTGAAGGTAGCATACAAACTGATTAGTAAAAGCTTCTGTAGGTGTGTGAAGAGAGAAAAAAAAATTAATGAGGACAAATGTAAATTGCTTCCAATAAGATACAAAGCTGTAATGTACCCCATCCGGGACTGGCAGCTTCTTTACCTGGAGTGCTGCCAGCCTTTTTAGCACCTCTTGACCTATCACTATACTGCTCAGTTGCTCAACAACTACATTTTCAACTGTGCCATTGTCACCATTTTCTAATTTGTCACCATTGAAGACAGAAGCAAAGTATTTGTTTGGTACCTCTGTCGTACACTTTGCTTTAGTGTGAAGTGTGTGCTGCTTCTTCCTTTATGGGCCCCAATCTATCATTTTGCTACTCTTTTACTATTAATATGTTTGAAGAACATTTTACTGTATGTTTTAACACAGCCTGCCATCCTTTTCTCGTGCTTCCTCTTAGCTTTCCACATTGCAAACTTAGCCCCTCTCCTGTGATTGAGATTACTCTTCCTTATTTCTATTGGTATTATTATTCCAATATGTATCATTTACCTCTTTCTTCCTTACTGTCTCATCAGTATCATTGGTTCATCCAGGTTACTCTAACTTTGGATACCCCATATTTATTTCTCAAGGGTAAGTACCTAGCTTACATCCTATTCTCCCTTTTGATAGGGTCCCTTTTTTTTTTATCCACTTGCTTCCACCAAAATGTATTTCCAATCAATCTGCTCCAGTTCAACTTTTAGACCGTTAAAATCTGCCCTTTTCCACTCTGAGATCTTAATACTTGACTGATTTTGTTTTTATCCTTTTCCAACTTAATCTTGAACCTTATTACATTATGATTGCTTTTTCCCCATTCTGGCATTCTGTACTTGGCCTGCCTCAATTCCTAGAACCAGTAATGTCCCAAAAAATGTTGGGGATCACAGGGTTGAGAGAGGGAGAAGCTGAGGGAAATAAATATTAATAGGGAAATGGTGTTACGATAATTGGGATTAAGGGTTAATAAATCCCTGGGCTTTGATAATTGACATCCTTGGATACTTGAGGAAATGGCCGTAGAAAATAGGTGGTGATCTTTCATGATTTTAGACTCTGGAATTGTCCTATAGATTGGAGGTTAGTTAATGTATTATTTAAAACAAAAGATGGAGGTAGAGAGAAAACGTGAAATTATAGACCCGTATTGTAGATGGAGAACTTGTTGGCAGACAGGAAACAGTAGAAATAAACAGGTCAGTAGACTATCATGAGAATGGGTGCTTGAAGTCCAGCTATTCACAATAAATATGAATGATTTAGATGAGAGAACCAAGTATAATATCTCCAAATTGGCAGATGACATAAAGCTGGGTGGAAGGGTGAACTGAATGTAGAGCGCAGAGATGCTTCGTTGTGATTTGGACAAGTTGAATGAGTGGGCAAATGTCGTGCAGATGAAATATAATGTGGTTACGTGTAAGGTTATTCACTTCAACTGCATTTTTGTTTTGCTATCATCATCTAAATGGTAATAAATGGGGATGGGAGAAGGTACACCAAGGTTCTGGACGTCCTAATTAAAATTTTAATTAAATAGATAATGCAGTAGTATGATGTCGTCAGAATCGAAATAAGTTGAAGCTTTGCGTTCATAACAACTTGCATATATATGGTACCTTTTTAATGTATTATCTTGTCCTAAGCATTTCATGTAGATATTATCAAACAAAATTGCATACTGAGTCAAAGGAAATAAAAGGATTAAAAACTGAATATTTGGTCAAAAAGGTGGGGATATAGATCCTGTTAAAAAGAGGGCTGGGTGGTATTGAATGGCTCAGGGAGAGCATTATGAAAGATAGGACCTGAATGGCTCCATGAAGGAATGGCTGAGGCTGGATAGAGGAATGGAAGATGTACAGAAGCCAACAAGAGATTTAGGGGAGGGGAGATGGTTACAAGGAGAATTTATATGTATGGCTGAACCATGCTTTTTTTTTGGGCTAAGTGCATGTTGTATCGAGGATTTGGAGGGATTCTCGCTGCTATACCCAGTGAGGTTTCTTGCTCTTATTTTTCAAATGCCCATTATTAATTACCTACCACAGTCCTACGGCATGTCTCATGTCTGGTTCTAGCCTCATTTTAACGTGCGCTGTTCCTGAAACAACTTGCCACTCACTGGAAATCCACTGAAAGTGCATATGTTGTGTCTATGCCATCTTTAAAAGCTTGTTGTCCACCTACCTAAGTACTGTTAGTCTAGGCTGCCCTGTACTGTTCCTAACATTTTCTCAGAATGTGGCAGATGGGAAATTAGTACCCTATTTTGTGGCTAAGGGCCTGGACAGGGTGGTGCAGATGTAGAATGTCTTGCTGCCCCAGGACACTAGCAGTGGAGGCTATAACTCCAATTCACGCTAGCCTGCTCAGAGATTGCACTAACTCAGATGGCAGTCTCCACTATCTGGGCAAGTGCACAATAGTGTAGGAAAAAGGCCAATGACCACCTCTCCTCCAGCATAGGTTCCACCATTTGTGTCTAATACCTTGCACTCTCACCATCTCTGTTGTTGTACCCATTTTCCACCAAGGCTCATGCTCTATGATGCTCGCTACTGCCTGTAGTATCTTCCCTCACTTGCCAAGTTTCTTTTATGCACCTTTGACCTGAGGTATTGTTTAACTTTTGTTTTTGCGATTTGGCACTTAAATGTAGGATACTTGAGATAGCACCCAAGAAACTTGGCTTACAGGAAAGTTAAATTGATCAGATTTACATTTCTGCAAAGAGGACGTAGTCTCAGGAAAACAAAGGGGGTTACACTTGTAGAACTGAGTTTAGGATATTTTCTTGTAAGAAAAATAGGGACATTCCAACGGGTGTTAAACATTAACACGCTTAATTCCACATTGCCTTCGTGATACAGTACCATGGGAAGGGGAAACGTATTTAGCAAGGATCTTTGGTTGACAGCTAGGGAACAGACTAGGAATAAATAGATTGTTTTGAGAGTGGCTAGCTGTGACTAGTGACTAATTGGGTACTGCAAGGGTCACTGTTTGGGGTCGCAGCTATTCATGATATATGGAAATGAATTGGATGAGAGAAGTAAATGCAACTTTCCCAAGTTTGTTGAAGATGCAAAACCGGATGGGGTTGTGAGGAAGAGGCAGAGAGGCTTCAAGGTAACTTAGAAAAGTTGAGTGAGTGGGCAAACACGTGGCAGACACAGTTCAATGTGGCTAAATGTAACATTGTACACTTTGGTGTGAAAAGTAGGAAGAAAAAATATTTGAATGGTAATCTATTAGGAAGTTTGGATGTTCAAAGGCTTCTGGATGTCCTGGTACACCAATAAATGAAAGTAGCCAGGCAGGTGCAGTAAGTAATTAGGGAGTCAAATCCTGTATTAGCCTTCAGTGCAAGAGGATTTGACCTTGAAGTAGGGATATCTTACTGCAGTTATACAGGACCTTGGTGAGACTGCACCTGGAATATTATGTGCATTTAAGATCTCTCTTCCGAAGGGAAGGTATACTTGCCATACAGGGAGTGTAGCAGAGGTTCACTAGGCTGATACCAGGGATGGCAGGACTCCTATAAGGAGAGATTGGTTTGACTGGGCTTGTATTCATTAACATTTAGGATGAAAGGGAAACTAATAAAATTCTGTTTCAAGCAGGGATGGACATGTGAGATGCAGGGACGATGGGAATTCTAGAAATGGAACACACTCAGGACATGGGATAGAATTCTCCACCGCTGAAGACTGTTGAAGGCCAAGGCATTGAATATGTTCAAAAAAGAGAATTTTTAGATTTTTAAAGGTATTAAGAAGTATGGTGACAAAGCGGGAATATGACATTGAGATAGAGGATCAGCCATGATCATATTGAATGGTGGAGCAGGCTCAAAAGGCAGCCTTCTCCTACTTTCTATGTATTTGTAATCAATCTGTTCAGGGATGTTACGTTGCACCACTGGAGTATGATGCATTTCTAGGCCTTAAACATTGGCCTTCTGGCTGAAAGGTAGGGATGGTACCACTGCATCAATGCTGTGGGAGCGCCTTCAATTGCATGGACTGCAATGATTCAAGAATCATGCCCCGCACCTCCTCTGTCAGATTAACATTATTTAACACAAGGAGGATCTTGCTTTTGCGTTGAGTGATTTGCATTTGGAATACATTAACTGATTTGGTGATGGGAAGAGATTTAATTGTTTTCAAAAGAGGAATTCTTCAATCAATTGAAAGAGAAAAATATATGTAAGGATTTTTTGGAAAAGGCTGGTGAGTGTGACAAATAGGATTGCTCTTCTGAAGGATTAGTGCTGATTCAGTATGTCAAAACTGCCTTTTTTAATCCTTTCATTATCTCCTCTTTCCTCAGCCATTTTGTGCCCTTGCAAATGTCATGAGATGTGTATGTGGTCCGAATATCTTGCCCAGACTCAAGACCTGGTATTTGTTTTTGATTCATTGATGGCTTTAATAAATTGTGAATACTGACATACTCATTTACAGCTTTCACCTGTTTTGCATAACAATGATACCCACCTTTGTAAGTTTAGGGATAATAAAATGTCATTGCCAAGTGATGTTCTTGATATGATTTAACTCTGATGTCCAGCATTTTCCACGTGGCTCATTGGGTAGCATTCTTGTCCGTGTTAGAAAGTTATTGTTTGGTTTAGGGTTGAAGCACTCCGGGGTTTAAGCACGTTATCTGGTTTGACAATCCACTGCAAAAATAGGAGAATTCAGTGTCAGAATACCATCCTTTTGATGTGAAGTCTTTCTTGCAATACAGCAGATCAGTAAATTTTGTGAAGCATAAATTTTGTGAAGCATAAATTGTGTTTGTCTAATTTGCTAGTTATTCAAATATGTAATGATAATGTACCTCAACGGTTAATACACGGGTAAGATCGCAAGTGGTTAAGGAATAGTATGTTAGCTTGGATAGGGGATTGACCAACCAACAGGAGTCGGGATAAATGGCCGAGCAGGCTCGAAGGGCCAAATGGCCTACTCCTGGATTTTTTTTTTTTCCCTTTTTTATAATCTTGCCTGGATGGGAGCAGTTCCAACAAAACTAATCAAGATAGATGTAATCCAGGACCAAACAGTCCACTTGATCAGGAACTCCGCCAGCACTGGTCCGCCATGCAACTAACTCTCTCCAAGGAAATTCTGAAATACTCTTAAAATTATGTGTGATTTTCTTTTACCATGTGACCATACCGTTTAGGAACACAGCTTATCATCATCCCCTCCAAAGGAATGGAATTGCCGCCTTTGAGAATGGGCTAAAGAGCACATTATTAAATTTGTACTTTTCATTTTCAACTCCCATAGGGTTTGAAAGAAAATTGTGAAAGCATTAATCTTTGGAAAGTAAGCAAAAATAAATTGGCATTTCTAGGGTTAAAGTATTCTAGAGACAAGATCCATCTTCCGTTTGCATTCATTTACTGTGGAAGTTTTAAGGTCATCTTTGCACTACTGTGGCTATTTTTAGAATGCAATTTTCTGACTTTTTTTTTCCACTGAGGGCTTTGTGTAACACAGCAAAGCTTTTCTGCAGTGCTGATTGTGCTTTAACTGATTTGAGTACTGAAATCCTTTAATAGCTTTCAATTCTATTTCCTGCCTGATGCAGTATTAGTAGGTATTCAATAAATTGGAATTAATTATTTATCATTGCAATTAAGTTTTTTGACCTTCCCAATTTGGGTCACATCTTAAAAAAAACTTTGAACTCTATAATACTAGCAGTGGAAAATTGGTGATTATAGATCTGTCACAGGGGAGAACGTTGGATGAATTTGAGATAATAAGGATCATTGCAAAACAAATATATTCATTGCAGGTTTAAACATGTGACTTGTGTGTAAAAATCCTCTGCAGCATTGATGCCAATGTGCTGAATGAGACCAGTGATGACATAATTCTGTGATTTACAGACCTTGTATTTTGGATGAATTCTAAATGTGTGCCTGTCTATATAACAACTGCAAATAAGCTGCTTTGTCCTTATTTTGACATTCACAGATATGTGGGAGTTTTCTCCAGAGTGTTACATTCTGTTGGAAGTCTCCAGCTCTCTTAGGTTCCAACAGAACTGCAGAAAAACGTTTGTTTCATTCCAGTGACTGTATATGCCACTATAATAGTAACGTTTGCATTTAATCATTGCCTGCTAATCAGGAAGTATAGGTCAAATTTAAGTGCAACTGAGCTTAGACCAGGGCTAACTCTAGAGTTGTGGTTAGTTTCAGAATGAAGTAAGGAAAGATCTAACTGAATACTCATCTTTCAAAGAACTTAAATGATTAGATAACAGGATGGAAAGTCCAGTAAGCATTGGGAAAGTCTCTGGCCTAATGTTTGTCCTATTTTTAATTGGTACGAATGTTACAGAAACAAATATATAACAAAAAGTCTTGCTTGGTGAAATACCAATTATGTTGAATAAAACAAACTGTTGATAAGATAAGAAGAAATGGAGTTAATAGAAAAGGAGCTAATTAAGGGAAACTAAATTTTTGATAAAGTACAAGTTAATGAAGTTTTTGTTATGCAATTGTATTTGAACAGTTTATATAGTTACATAATGCAGGATTATGTGAATTGTAAGGTAGGTGGGAATGATAAGGGAGTGACAGAAATGTATTAAAAGTTAGTTTTATAATTCAATATTTGGATTCATAAGGCTTAAGATTCTGAACTTGGAATCTGAACCACATTTTTTTTTTCAATTTCCAACCAGCCATCAGTTGGGTTGGAAGTACTACCATTTAAGTATATTTAATGTTTCAAAAGTCTGTTATACCATAATACTTCAATGTGTATGATCCCTTATTGAGAATCTTGTGCTAAAAATCAACCAGCAATTACTAAAACTGGTATCTAATTATTATCACATTACTTTTATTGGAAGCTTGCTGAGTGAAAATTCAGAGGGCGCTGAAGGTTTGGAACCTTCTACCCCAGAGGGCTGTGAAGACCTAGTCATTGAATATATTTAAATCAAATATTGATATATTTCTGTTTTGAAGAGTCATGCCAAACTCAAAATGGTAACTTGAAAACCAAAAGAACTGCGGATGCTGTAAACAGAACAAAAACAGAAATTGCTGGTAAAGCTCAGGCTGTCTGGCAGCATCCGAGTGTAAATCTGAGTTCATGTTTTGGATCCAGTGACCCTTCCTCAGAACTGACGGTATCTAGGAAAATATCAGTTTATATGCAGAAGAAAGGGTGGGGAGAAGAGGGAAGGAGTAAACGATAGGTGAGGATGTGGGGATAGAGTCCAAAGAGAGAGAACAGTTGGACAGACAAAGGAGTTGATAATGATCTGGCTAGGAGGGTGAATATCTCTTAATGGAGACTGTTAGTGACTAACAATGGATGGTGTCTAAGGTTTTGGAGTAGATTCGTAGCTCGGGTTCTGGGTGTTGAAGTTGGTTGGCTCGCCGAGCTGGTTTCTTGTTTCGCAGAAGTTTTGTTACCATGCTGGGTAACGTCCTCAGTGCAGCCTCGAAGAAGTGTCGGTGTGTTTTCCCGCATGGTTTTTAAACTCTGGAGTCCGTTGAGCTGGATTGCTTCACTTTCGGTTTTCCTTCGTAGTGGAATGTATATGGGGTCAAGTTCAATGTGTTTATTAATAGCATGCTTCGTGGAGTGCCAGGCTTCTAGGAATTCTCGTGCCTGTCTCTGCCTAGCTTGTCCCAGTCGAAATGGTAGTTCTCCTTGTCCATGTGGATTGAGATGAGTGAGTATTGGTCGTGTCTTTTTGTAGCCAGTTGGTGTTCATGTACCCTTGTTGTTAGTTTCCTTCCTGTTTGTCTGATGTAGTTTCTCACAGTCTCTGCAGGGGATCTTGTAGATGACATTGGTCCTGTCCATGAGCCATGTATATAGGGTTATTAATAAACACATTGAACTTGACCCCATATATACATTCCACTGCAAAGGAAAACCGGAAGTGAGGCGATCCAGCTCAACAGACCCCAGAGTTTAAAAACCAGGTGGGAAAACACACCAATGCGTCATCCGAGGCTGCACTGAGGATGTTACCCAGCATGGTAATGAAACATCCTGCGAAACAAGAAACCAGCTCGGCGAGCCAACCAACCTCAATAGCTGGTGTATAATGGCAGGCTGAATCATAGAATCCCTACAGTATGGAAACAGGCTCTTTGGCCCAACAAGTCCACACCGACCCTCGGAGCATCCCACCTAATCTACACATCCCTGGACACTATGGGCAATTTAGCATGGCCAATCCATCTAGCCTGCACATCTTTGGACTATGAGTGGAAACTGGAGCACTCGGAGGAAACCCACGCAGACACTGGGAGAATGTGCAAACCTCACACAGACAGTTGCCTGAGGGTGGAATCGAACCCAGGTTGCTGGTGCTGTGAGGCAGCAATGGTAACAACTGAACCACCTTCTCCGCGCCACCTCCCCCCCCGCCCCAGCTATGTGATAATGAGACCTGATGTGTGGGGTATGGGGTAGAGAATGGGAAAGTTCATTTTAAACTCGATATCAAGTCCTGAGGACTGCAGGGTCCCCAAGCGGAAAATGAGGTGTTGTTCTTCCAGCTTGTGCTGAGCTTCACCATTGCACTGTAGCAAGCCTGAGACAGAGATGTTAGCCAAGGAACAAGGTGGTGTGTTCAAGTGGCAGGCAGCTGGAATCTTGGGGCCTTTTTTTTTTTGGTGGGCAGAATGTAGATTTTCTGTGAAGCGGTCACCCAGTCTATGCTTTGTTTATCCCAGTGTGGAGGAGACCACATTGTAAGCAGCGAATGCAGTAGGCTAGATTGTGTGAAGTGCTGCTTCACCTGGAAAGTATGTTTGGGCCCTTGGATAGAGAGGAGGGAGGAGGTAAATGGGCAGGTGTGACACCAACGGTGGTTGCAGGGGAAGGTGCCGTGGGGCTGTGGGGGGGAATGTTGGGATTGAAGAAAGAATGGATCAGGGTGTCCCGAAGGAAATGGTCCCTGTGGAAGATGGACAAAGGAGGGGAGGGGAATACGTGTCCGGAGGTGGCGGAAGTGGCAACTGATTTTCTGGATGTAGATGCTGGTGGGATGGTAACCTATCGCTGTTGCAAGAGGGAAGAGAGGGTGTGAGGGCGGTAGTGCGGGAGATGGGTCGGACCTGGTTGAGGGCCCTGCTGACAATCAGTGCAGTCAGTGGCCTCCATTTTTTGCAGCAGCGGGAGCAGTGAGAGCGAGGACCAGGGGCCTGCTGGGAGGTAAGTTCTTCATTTCGGCAGCGGTCGAATTGCGCTCTCGGAATGTGAGTGAACTGATATATTTGGGCAGTGGCTAAACCCGAAACACTACACCTGTAGTGTCTCCCACCAGCCGCCCTCCTCCTCTGACCAAAAAAAAGACTCTGGTGTGTGATAACGTAAGTGTTTTTCTTTTTTTTTTATAGTGTGCTGGTAAGTAGAGTGATTTGGTACAATTGTTTTTTTTCACTTCATTT